TTTTCCAGAAACGGGTGGAAAGATCTCTCCTGAGCCACGGCTTTCTGTCTTTGTTTGTCTAACTACCCTTCTCAGGAGTCAGGGTTTTTGTCTCCATCTCCATGTTTCTGATCTTTGTCTATCGTTGTCTCCTCTCTCGTTATCCCTCTGCCCCCCATCTCTGTCACAGACAATTTCTTGGGGACTCTGCCTTCAGGCTCCCGCTCTCCAGTGTGTAGGAAACCTGACCTTCATCATCTGTTTTTTATATTTTGGAAACGTCAGCTTCACTTCCTACCTGAGGGAAGTGGGGGTGGGGGAGCAGGCTGCCTGGCTCCACCCCTTTCCCTCCCCCCTCCTTTTCTGAATCCATCCCCTCCCCCAGCTCCTTGCCCCAGGGACCACAGAGCTGAGGCCCTCCCTGCTCTAGGCCACTGTGGCATCAGGAATCAGGCCCTGATTCATGGTCTTCCCTCCACAGCTCACTGCTGGGTGGGGGAGGCAGTGAGGCCTCTTCTGATCGACCACTGATTTGCTGATTTGGGAAAAAGTAAAAATTCCAGGCACACAGAAAGCCCAGGAGGCTGAGAGATTTCAGTGGAAACAAGGATGGAAAGTAGTTGAAGTCATTTCTGCCTCTAGGCAGAGTTACATCCAACCAAGTTGTCTATAATGTTGTCACAGATGTTTATTTGTTTAATATGATTAATACTAGCCATAGATTATACATACTGAGGGCTCATCCTGTGCCAGGCACTTTATATGTCTTTGCATTACATTCACTCAACAACTTTATGTGGTAGGTACTATTATTATCTCCCATTTTCTTAATGAGAAAACTAATACACAGACAGGTTGACTAACTTGCCCAAAGTAACTCAGCTAATGAGATAGGAACCCAGGTTTCTCTGACTCTAAGTCCCAAGCTCTTTACTCTACATCAAGGTTTCCAGGACCTGAGAAATGTATTTTGTACATTTCTTTTTAAAGGAAATAAATCCACAGAACTCGGAGAATATACCTTCAAGATCCCAAGGACCCACGTACCCCAGTGGGAGAAGCGCTGCTGTGACTCACTGCTTTCTGGGAGACCTTGAAGAACCAGCCAGCAAAGATTAAGTGGAAAGGCCAGAAGAGGGCATTTCAGGAAGGAGCAACCGGGAGGGCTGCAAGTCAAGAGACGGCACAGGCACCAGGTTGGCGGAGTCTGACTCTGTGCAGGGAAATGAAAAGGGAGAAGAGAGCTAGGTGGAGGGCAGGGGTCAGCTCATGGAGACCTGAATGCCCAGTTCAGTTTAGCCTCCAGGTTTTTGAGCAGGAAAGTAATACTCCAAAAGAGGTGTGTGAGACCTGGACTGGAGGGAAAAGGTAGGCAATAAAGAGGGCTACTGAGAGGTTGGTATTACAATCCTGGCAGCCTAGGATGATCTGACAAAACATGCAGAAAGAGGGTATCTAAAAGACATTTCCAAAGAAATTTTGCATTTTGGAGTCTGGGCCGTCTGCCTCCTTCCTAAGGATTGCTATCCAAGCTAGTGTTTTTGGGGGGGGCTGTGGCAGGCAGAGGGAGGATAGGAAAACATGGTGTGTCTGCAGCACTGAGCCTTCGCAGTAGCAGGCACTCTGGTCTGAGGGCTGCTGTGGCCCTGAGTGATAGCTGGAGGACTCTCCGTGTGAAGATGGCACTCAACGCTCTGAGCTGGACACCGGCCTGAAGACTCTAGCCTGGGAGGCCCTGCCAGGTCTGAGGGCAGGCTGGGTGGGCAGGCTGTAGATCTGGAGCCTTAAGCAGCATTTTGTGTCTTTTTCAATTCTTTGAAATGATGATTCCTCTCCCTGGGTGGCAAAAAAAAAAGCAAAGTAGCAAAATTTGGTTAAGAACTGCCAATTCAGAAACTCAAATCTGTTTAAAAAATTCAATCTCTTTTTTTCAGAGGACAAAAACCTATTTCCATCAAAGATTGTATATGTCTGTGTGTCTGAGAGCTGGTGAGGGAGACTGAGTGAGTGTGAGAAGGAGAGTTGAAATGCCTTTGTTTCTATGTGTGAGGCTACTGCTCCGTGGGCTTGTATGTATGCGTTGTACGTATATTTGTGCCTGTTTCTCAGGCCCCTGTGTGCATTGAACTTTCAAACCATAACAGAAACACCAAAGCTTGGCAAAGATATCACAGGAATAATTATCTAATTTCAGAACATGTTATTATAATACCTACATGATGTGTAACGAACTTAACAATGTTCGCGTTATATTCACCAACTCTGAGTTACAGACCCACAATGCCAAGTCCTACCTTAGCAGCTTCTCCAAGACCCTAGAGCAGAGCAGCCCCAAAGAAAGGTCTTTAAGGAATATTCCCCCCACAATGGCTTCCTTATGGATCAGGAATTTTGGCTGGGTAGATATGAGGAAATCGCTGGAAGGGGGGCAGAGCCTATCTAGGGATGGCAACTCTGTTCCTCCCAGAATCCCTGTTCCTCCCCAGCAGAGGAGCCTCCAGAACTGGTAAGGAAACAGCCATATTGGGGTCACAGAGGCAGAGAGGCTTTCCCTGACTCAGCTGTGGGCCAGGGGGCCTCAGGAGCGGCAAGGCTCCCTTCTTCCCCAGGGGGCTGGATTGGGCTGAGGCTGAGTGTGAGGGGAATGTTTGCTGTTTGCTGCTGCTCCCTGTTGACTTTAGCCAGTAGCTCTGTTTACAAACCCAGGTTGGTTTTCCCAGCACAGTTAATTAGACCAAAGACATCTGGTGTGAGGGCTGGGGAGGGCATCTGTTCAGAGACTTCCCCCCACACCCAGCAGCCAAGGGCCAGTGCAGACTAGAGCAGCTAAACAGGACCAGACCAAATTCCATCAAACCCAAGGTTCTCAGGAGAATCGTGGCTTCTCTCACTCTGCTAAGTTAGACTGGGCCCCAACTCTCTGAGTCTTAGGGGACCCCAGGAGTCAGGGCTGGATGCCCCTGCCTCAGTGAGATCACAGGCTGGAGAGCAAGGACTCAGTCCTCTCCTCTGCCCTTCCATGTCCAAAAGAACCTGGCAGAGATTCCTGGCCCCTCTCTCATCACAGTGACTTTGAATTCTGTAGAACGCCAGACCTCTTCAGTCTCCTGCAGGAAAATCTCCCCTTCCTGGACACCCCCTCAGAAAAGAGGCTCTGGGCCCTCCCCTTCCTCCCTGACTCCTCTCCAGCTAATCTCTGACACAGCGGGGAGGAAAGAGATTAACCAGTCCAGGGCCAGAGGGAGGCAAAAAGGTGCCCAGCAAGGTGAGAGGATCTCGGTGGACAGTTCCAGGGCGGTGGGGAAGTGGAGTGCTGGGAGGGGGAGGGCCAGCGGCTTATCTCTCCCAGGAGGGGGGAGCTCACTCCAAACAGCTAATGCACTGGCGTGTGAAAGCCCCTCAATTAGCACTAATGATGCAATCAGGGAGGGAGAAGGAGGGACCAGAAGTTCTGGTGGAGTCTGCACCAACTTTCACGCACGATATACATTTCCTTCCTCGGACACGGTGGACCCTTCAGACACACCAAGGCACACACTCCACAGACAGTCTGGACCACGCGCGTCCGTGGGGACAAATGCACTCTTTGCACAAACTACTAGCAAGCATATGGTTCGCGATCTGCTGCTGACTGAGTGTGACTGCGGGGACCCCGGGGGGAGGGGTTAGATTTGAGGCGTCAGGGACAAGGAAAATCAGAAATCAGAAAGACCTGGTGGAGGAGGTTGAACAGGGCATCTCCGAATACCTCATGATTATTCCTCTGATCCCAGAGTTCCCGTCCCACGCGCGCTCGCAGGTGCCAGCCTCTGCGTCCGCCTCCCCACACCGCCACCCCCTCCTCTCCCCGGAATCAGGGACTGGGCGAGGAGCCGCCACCCCCAGCCCCACCCGCGGGAGGCGGGACCCACGCGCCTTTCCTGCGCCCAGCCCGCCCCGAGGCCACGGCTCCCAGGGAGGGCGCTCCGGGATCACACGGATCCCAGCACCCCGGACCCAGCTGCTCGTCCCTCCGGAGCCCGTTACGCGCCGGCCTCGCCCCTTTCTCTGCTCCCCCACCCCGCCCGGCTGGCTCCGTGGTCCGCCTCCCGGTCCCGTTATCCGGCGGCCCCAGCCCCGTTATCCGCCCTCGCGGGGCCGCCGCCTCTCCTCTCCCGGGCCGGAGTTCTGGGGGCCGCGGGCTGGGCAGGGCCGGAGCCGCCTCCGCGCTGCTTCCCAGGCCCGGACGGCCGCGGGAGGAGGTCCCGCTGTCAGTCAGCGGGGAAGGCCGGGCCGGCGGCCGGAGGGGGCGGCGCCGAGGACGGGCTCGGGCCGGGAGCTGGGAGGCGGAGGCGAAGGGGGCGGGAGCGGGGGCGGCTCCAGGCCTTATAAGCGGCGGGGGCAGGGCGGGAGGGAGGCAAGTGTCAGGCCGATG